TGAAAATCCTTCTTATCAATGACACTGAATAGCCAGTAATTTCCCAATCTGTATGTGTGCATTTGTTTTTTTTCCTAGGTGTAACATCTTACATATGCCTTTGTGGATTTGAAGTTGTTTTGTAGCTGAGCTCTCTAATTTACAAGGATCCTTTTGAATGCTAATCCTATTTTCCAAAGTGTTTGCAATCCCTCCCAGTTTTATGTTATCTGCAAACTTGATGAGTAAGTATTTCTTCCATCCACCCACCCATTTATAGTTACCCTTTGCAGGTGGCTGTTCAACCTATTATGTATCTACTTAATAGTTATTCCATCTGTTCCATATTTCTTCAGTTTTCTTATATGAGAATATCTAATGGTACTGCATCAAAGGCCTTACCAAAGTTTAGGTCTGTAATGTCCCATGTACTCGCTTCATCCACAAAACTATTTACCCTGTCAAAAGAGAAAATCAGGTCAGTCTGGCATATTTATTCCTAATAAATCCATGCCAGCAGCTAGTGATCACTGTTTCCTCCTCCTATTTTATACTTTGCTCTAGTAATGTCCCTAGGTATTGATGTCAAGCTGACCATGTCTATAATTCCCTGACTCTTCTCCCCCACTCCCCCTTTATTTAAAAAGACATTATGTTAACCATTCCCTTGTCCTCTGGCCCTTCCCTGTCATGCATGACTTTAAAGATACTGTCTTTAACTCCAAGATTTCTTCTGCTAGTTTTTTTCCCCAGCACCCTAGAATGAATTTTATCAGGCCCTGCTGACTTAAATTAATTCGACTTTATTAAAAACTCTCTGATATGCTATTTATTTAGCATAAGGTACAGATTTCCTCTTTTTCTTTATATTAATTTTGTTAGTGGTCTGGTTGCAGTTTATTTTTCTTTGAAGACTACAGCAAAGCAGTTATTGAGCCACTCTGTCCTCTTTGTGCCTTTTCTTAGCAGTTCATCATCCTTGCTGACCAGGGATTCTGCAGTTACCCTGGTTTTCTTGTGGGTTTTTTTTTGCCTGACATATTTATAGATCACCTTCTTATAGTTTTTAATATCCCATGCCAGCTGAATCTAATTTTTTGCCTTTGTTTTCCTAATTTTTGTCTGTGCAGGTTCTTGATATTACTTGGTAGACTTACTTCAAGACTCAGATTCCCTTCAGTGGCCTTTATGTTTTTTCTCTTTGGATCTCAAGGTATCTGAGAAACTTTTTATGTAGCTTTGTGGGCTGCTACATTTCCCATCTTTCTACAATGTTGCTATTGTTGAGCACCTCACACTATGTCCTTCTGGAACTGCGGGCTCTGTTGGATCGCTGTCCTTTCATTTTCCTGTCCATGTTTTGCTACCAATTCTTGGAAGCAGTTGAAATAAACCCTTTTGAAGTCCAGTGCCCTTGTTTTGCTAGTCCTGCGATTTCCTTCTCTGAGAATCATGAATTGTGCCACGTCATGATGGTTACTTCTTCCGAAGTTTCCCAACACCTTGATGTCCACAACCAGCTCTTATTTTTGGTCAGAACAAGGTCCAAGACAGGTGTCCCCTCAGCTACATCCTCAACTTTTGGTAACAGAGAGCTGCCTTCTATACATTTAGAACATGCTGGCCATTACATGTTTTGCTGTGTTTTCTTGCAACAAATATTAGGGAGGTTAAACCCCACTGATTCTATTATATGATTTTAAAAATTGTGTTGTGTGGTTTGAAGAATGCCTCAGGCACCTTGCCATTATTAGGTGCAGTGGTTCTCAACCTTTTTAGACTCCAAACACCCCTCATTAGATTCAAGGCACCCCTCAGAAAATGTCAGCTCTTGGTTTTCACTTATATAGGACTGTAAGAATGGCCATTTGCTGCATCAGACCATAGGTCCATCTTGCTAAGTCTCCTGTGTCACACTGTAGAGAGAACAGATGCTAAAAGGGAGAGGGAACAGGGTCTGACCAAGGTTTTTTCCATTGTTCCTCTCCTACTTACAGCCTCCAGCATTGAGGACATTTATACACATGCCCCAGGATTGGGGGGGAGGCACTTTAATTAGAGTGCCTCTAAGAGTCGCTCTGATTAAAGTTCTCAGAGCATCTCATGTATCATCAGCACCTCTGCACTAAAAAGTGGCAGTGGGGGTGCTTAAACTAAAGCTCGTCGAACAAGCTTTAGTTAAAGCACCCCCACTGCCACTTTTCAGTGTGAGGACACTGATACACAAGAGGCTGGAGTCTCCTGGAGCATAGGAATTACCAGGCTCCAGCAGACTCGATGAATCAAGCCTGCTATGACATGCTGTAATTACAGTGCACCCTGAAGATTTAGGAAGTTCTGATTCAGAGGTTGTACCCCTAACTCCTGTGCTCAGTAGCTACTGTTGCCCCCTATCCTCCAAGAATTTGTCCAATTCATTGTTTAATCTGGCTGAACTGCCAGCTTCCACTGCAACTGGTGACAGCAAGGCCCACCCACACCTCACTGACACGTGGTGTGAGAAAGAACGCCCTGTTGTTCATTTTAAACGTACTACCTACTAGTTCCATTTTATGACCCTTGGTTCTTGCATTGTGTGAGAGAGTAAATAATAAATCCCTATTGACTTTCCTTTCACCATGATGTCTTTGTTTAAACCCTGATCATGATTCATGTCCCCCCTCGAGCATCTCTTTTCTAAACCGAAGAGGCCTGGTTTCTTTTGTCCTTCCTCTGATGGAAGCCCCTCTAGGCTGCCAACCATCCTTGTTTTTGGCTAGAGAAAAATACTAGAGGGATTCTTCTGTTGCCAAGCACTGGGGCAGCCCACAGCAGGGAAAGATGCTCTTAATACCATGGTGTTAAATCTCTAGGTTTAGCTTGCAGCGCTAACACTGTGCATAAAAGATCTCAGGGAGGAGGAGGAGGAGGAGGTGCCCGTACAGTTGTGGTGCTGCTGGGTGCCCAGACACTCCCTGCCCAGCCCGGGCTTCTCAGCCCGGGGACAGGGCTGCTCTCAGGGAGGGGAGACAGTGCTGTGGATCAGCTCCCATACAGCACTCAAGGTTGGGGGTGGGCTATCCCGCTCAGCACTGACAGATCTTAAATATGAAATTATCGTATTGGAAGCTCAAAACCAGGGCTGTTCCTGGGGGGAGCGGGGTGCAGGCTGTCCTGGGCCCTGTGCTTTGGGCGGCCCTGCGGAGCTGGGTGGAGCGGCTGCGGCAACACTGTGCTGCTGCCAGCTTCACGTCTGGCTTGATACCCCGCTCCATGCCACTGAATCCGCTGCCTCCGGCCACTCACACTCAGCACTCCTCTCTGCTGCCGGCTTCCACACGCTGGCCCTGCGCAGGCTGATTTGCCCCAGGCCTCGCACCCTGCTCAGGTCACCTCTGCTCAAAATGATCATATTTGTTGAAAAACTACTGTACCCTGAAAAAAAAAAAATACACAAACGAGTATGGAAACAAGTCATTTTCTTATTTATTGTATATTGCTCGCTATAAACAACCATTCAGTGAGTGAGTGACATCTGGGTCAAAGTTGAAACATTTCTTTATTGGGAGGCAAGTAGGCATGAGAGAGTGCTGATGGCAAACCCCAAAATCTGCCAAAGGTTTTGGGAACTTCTGAAGCCCCAGACCGGGGTGGAGGATGTTGGCTGGTAGTAGGGCCAGTTGTGGTTCTGGACTCCTGGATTTGGAATTAGTTTTGGCTAATTTGGTCAACAAAACCCCAAAAAACAAACTTCCAAAGTCAGTTAAGACTCCTTGCGAGAGACTTGGGTTTTGCATATGCTGCATCCATGAGCTGCCTCAAAAATGATCTTACTTTATGAACGCTTTCACTACTGCTGATCCCGCACCGTACAAAGGAGGAAACGACCGTCCGGCTAAGACGACTGCCGCGCACCCGGCAGTATGGAGCCCTCTCCGCGCGCAGGCGCACAAGGGAGGGGCACAGAGGGAGGGGGACATGGCTGTAGAACAGCTCCCTCAGACAGGTCGAGGGCGGAGGCTCTCTCTGCCCGCGCGCAGGCGCACTAGGGGCGGGGATAGCGGGGGGAGAGGGAACACCGCTGTGGAACAGCTCCCTCAGAGGTCGAGAGCAGAGAGCGGCGCGGAACCCTCCCCCTTCCATCCTCTCTCCTCCTCGCCCAGCCCCTCGCGCAGGCGCACTAGGGACGGGGGCGGCATAGCCCGGCCCACATTCCACACGCGCCGCGCGCATGCGCGAGGTGGAACCAAGCCCCCCGCTCTCGGCCACCAACCACCGCGGTGGCTATCCGCCTCCCTCGGGAGGGCTCGCTGCCACCACGCATGCGCGGTTGCCAGGGCGGCCGCCTCGCCGTGAAGATTTAAACTGGGCCGCGCATGCGCAGGGTTGCTGCTGGCTCCGGCGAGGGCGGGGCCGCATTGGAGCAGTGGTCCGCGCCTCCCGCCCCGCCCCCCC